GATGCTCTGACCAGTAGGTTAGCTTGCTGCTGGGGTCTGGCCAATCGGGACTAAGCGAGATGGGCCGGACATGCCCTGGAGCCCTGCTGCGGTCCTTCCCCGGCCGGATCATGCACTGGTGGGGTCCCTTGGCCTGGCCTGCACCCTCTCGCAATCTGGGCTGAGGGACCCCTCCCCTCCGCCTCCGCCCCAAGGGCACAAATTTCATGCACCGGGCCTCTAGTATAACATATTCATAAATGGAAAGAAAATTTCATGCCAGTTTCCCCCAAAATTGATCTACATATTCAATACAAATCCCTCTAACAAAGTTTTCCAAAGAACTTGAAAAGATAATTATGGAATTTATAAGACAAAGAATGAGCACAAATATAGTCAAGACATCCCTGATGAAGAATAAAGTCAGGAGGGCTTGATATCAAGATATAATATTACAGAAGTTAGAAAATGTGGTATTGGCACAGGAATCACCAGATTGGCCAATGGAAGAGAATAGGGAGCCAAAAAACAATCCACATATGTATGGAAATGTGATAAATGATAAGGGTGACATTGCAAATCACTAGTGAAAGTATGAACTATAATGCCTGATGCTGGGACAGTTGGTTTTCCTCATAGAAAAAAAATAAAATCTTTAATTCATATTACACACAAAAATCAATCACAAATAGATAAAGCTTTAAATGTGAAATGCAAATTATTAAATGTTTTAGCCTTGGTCGGTTTGGCTCAGTGGATAGAGTGTCAGCCCATGGACTAAAGCAGTGATGGCGAACCTATGACACGCATGTCAGAGGTGACACGCAAACTCATTTTTTTGGTTGATTTTTCTTTGTTAAATGGCATTTAAATATATAAAATAATATCAAAAATATAAGTCTTTGTTTTACTATGGTTGCAAATATCAAAAAATTTCTATATGTGACACGGCACCAAAGTTAAGTTAGGGTTTTTCAAAATGCTGACACGCCGAGCTCAAAAGGTTCCCCATCACTGGGCTAAAGGGTCCTGGGTTCGATCCTGGTCAAGGGCACATAGCTCCATTGCAGGCTCGATCCCTGAATCCCTGGGGCATGTGCGGGAGGCAACCAATCCATTTACCTCTCTCACATCGATGTTCCTATCTCTCTGCCTCTCCCCCTCCCTTCCATTCTCTCTAAAAATCAATGGAAAAATATCTTCAAGTGAGGATTAACAACAACGAAAAAAAGTTATAGAGATAGTAAAAAATATTTTCTGACCCTACATAAGGAAGAAATCTTTAAGATCTACAAAAAGTAGAACTCTAAAAAGATGGATGAACTTGACTAAACTGAAATAAAAAGCTCTTCATCCAAAGACACTCTAAATAACCTGCGAAGATGAGTCACAAATTGAGAGAAGATATTTGCAATTCATAAGTCACAAATGATTATCATCCCAAATATATAAAGAACTTTTAAAAACCACTAAGAAAGCAACAGAAAATTAGGTAAAAGACATGAACAGGCATTTCAGGGAATAAGGAACCTGAATGGCCAGTAATGATGTGAAAATATCTTCAACCTCATTAGTAATCAGAGAAATGCAAATTAAGCCTATTGAGAGTTACCATTTTCTAAGAGCCAGTTTGGCAAAAGTGAAGAAGGCTGGCAAATTCTGATCGTGATGTAAAGCCAAGGAAACTCGCATGCACTGCTGCTGGGCGCGAACACAGGCAGAGCCACCGGGGAAAACAATTTGGCGCTGTCTTATCAAGTGGAACAAGCACACACACTCCATAACCCAGCAGTTCTAGCATCTCCTGTGCAGGTGCATCTGCAGATTCATCTCAGAATGTTCACAGCAGCCTCATTTGTAATAACAGGAAACGGGGAACAAAGCAAATGTCCATGGATGGCAGAATAGGGAAATAAATTGCAGTAGATTCAAACAATGGAAAACTACACATCAGAGAAAATAAATGAACTATAGCGAAACTTCCATCTGGGTCAATGTTAGAAACATGATGTGGAGCTGAAAAATAGAGTGAGTTTATTTTTATAAAGCTCCCAAGCAAGAAAAATTCTACAATGCTCTGTCTGGGGATGCTTGCACACTAGGAAAACTACCCCCCAAATGGCAAGAAAGCTGTAAACACCAATTTTAGGGGAATAGTTACATGTAAGAGGGAGGTACAGGATAGGAGAGGGGCACCTGTTCACTGGTGTTTGTCGTATTATTATGACTTTAGGATCTTCATAAATATTACATATTTTCTTTTGTACAAATCAGCAGGGAACGGAATAAAGAGATGTGTGATGAAGTGCGTTATGACAAGCCCCTAACACATACAACTGATTCTCTATACTCTTCTTGCTTGCCAGGTGCAGCACGAATGATGTAAACACATTATCTCATTTAGTCTTCAAGCAGCCCTACCAGCAGAGCAGAGGAGGAAGCAGACATCCAGAGAGGTTAAGCAACTTGCCCAAGATCACTCAGCTTCTGGGATCTGAGATGCAAGCCCAGGTCTATCTGACTTCAGAATAATCCCTCTTTGCCACTGGTCTCCAGCTGCTCACACGGCAGGTGTTCCATAAGCCAGGAGGCTGCTCTGATCCTCTCTGATCACACACACTCCTGAGTCCCTGAGGCACTTCCCACAATTAACCCAGGCTCTTCATTCCTCCTCCATGAGTCTGTGTCTAAGACCATTTTTCCTAAAGCTCTTCCAGGGCAAAGGTCATGCCTGTGCCTTCTCTGCATTTCCAGGGCCAGTGTGCTGGTACACAGCAGGAGCACAATAGATGCTTCAAGTCTGGTGGGGGATATTACCGAACTTATCTGATGGGAGGAGCCCCAGAGCCACGAGGAAGGGACCTAGAACCGGGCACTCACCCCGGGGGCTGTAGCCGTGGGCGTCCATGAAGGAGAGGCCCAGCCGCTCATCCTCCTGCAGGGTGCTCTGGTCCGTGAAGCTCCGGTCCACAGCGCTCATCATGTGCGTCTTCTCCTGGCGGTAGTTGACGGTGGCCTTGGTCATGTTCACCGGCTTCCTGCAGGGCGGGGTGGATGGGAGACAGGGGTGCTGAGCTGGGCAGGCCTGTGCCCAGAAGAGGACGAGGAGCCCAGCACTCACGGGCCTTGAAGCCAGGAGCCATTCTACAAGCATCTCTGGATGCTGAGGGGACTCTGCCTCCATCCTTCACTCAACAGACCCGGAGAGCTGCTGCTTCCCCCACAGAAGGGACCGAGCAGGGACCCTGTCCTGGAGACCTTTGCTGAGAGCAAGGGACGGAGCAGCAGTGGGAACCTGCCCCAAGGCCTCAGGAATGGGAGGAAAAATCACTCTGGGCCCATGTGGGTGACCCAGCAGACGGTCACCCCGCCCCAAACTAGGAAGATGGCTGTCCCCGCTCCAGCCCAGCACGCCCATCTCCATCCGCCTTCCCCTGCCCTCACCAGACACCTGCCCGGGAGCTCCTTTCTCTCGTGTAAGGGGATGGACCGTACCCCTCTTTCCTGGCAGAGGATCTGACTAGCGCTCAGCCAGAGCTCAGGAGTCCTCCCCGGGGCCCAGAATGGACTCCAACCGGCTGCTCTTACCCCCGAACTCCCAGGATGGGCCCACCACCGGCCACCTAGACTAGTAAAGAGACCCGCACAGGGTCCATGTTCCCACCACTAACCACCAGTCCACGCAACTGCTAGAAGCAGCACAGGGGGAAGGCAAGAGGCCCCGCCCCTCCCAGAGGGCAGAGATTTTGGAGAGGGCCGTGGGCAAGTGCCCCACCCGGTCCAGGCTTCCAGCCAGATGAGGAAGCAGTTTGTGACTCAGGGAGGTCGGAGGAGAGTGGGAGGGAAGGTGCGGAGGCAGGGGACACAATTCCATGAACAAGGGGCCAAGCAACAGGCAACAGGGAAATGACCTGGGACCCACTTGAGACTGAAGAAGAGTGGAGGCTCAATCATAGGGGAGGCTCAAGACAAGAGAACTATTCATTTGCTCAACCCTACAGCATGCAGGATGTGGGGTAGCATTAAGAACGGACTTTCAGGTAATGAAGGCTTGGGGACATTGATTACTGTGGAGATAAAGAGGTCAATGAGGGGTCATCCCAGCAGGACAAATTCCCATCAGCCTGTCCTGGCTCAAGAGCTCCCAGGGCAGAGGAAGGACAGGAGGACCTCCGGATGCCTCTTCTGCCAGGACCCCTTCCCGTGCTGAGAAGACGGCTCTGTGTACACGCTGGGGACCAATGCTGCTGTGACTGAGGTAGGCACAGCCTTCTCAGCCTGGACCAGAGACGGCTCAGTGGGCCAGGCCTCCTACTCCCAGCCCCACCCACAGGCTCTGGGCATCGCCCTCACTGTGGCCCAGGGCACAGCCAAAGACCAATTTGGGGGCAGGTGAGGAGAAACCTCTGTGGCTGTGACCTTGACCATCACCCTAAGAGGAATAGGAGGAGGAAGAAGGGAAGGAGAGAGGTGAAGAGGAAAAGAGAGAGGGCAAGAGAATTAAGATACAGAGGAGGGCCCTGACCAATTTGACTCAGTGGATAGAGCGTCAGCCTGCAGACTCAAGGGTCCCAGGTTCGATTCCGGTCAAGGGCATGTACCTTGGTTGCAGGCACATCCCCAGTGGGGGATGTGCAGGAGACAGCTGATTAATGTTTCTCTCTCATCGATGTTTCTGACTCTCTATCCCTCTCCCTTCCTGTCTGTAAAAAATCAATAAAATATATTTTAAAAAAAAAAGATACAGAGGAGGAGGAGGGAGAGGGGGAAATGGAGAGGAAGTAAAGGAACAATGAAAAGGAAAGAGAGATGGGGAAAGGGGACAGAGAGAGGGAGGGACAGGGAGACACCAGCAAACCACGGGGAAGACAGAGGACAGCCGGTCAACCTGGCTGAACAATGGTGCCCAATGAGGCTCCGTCACGAGTGGACACTGGCCTAGGAGGGGTCTCCAGTGTGAACCAAAGGGTCTGTGCCCGCCCTCCTGGCCTACTTGGATACCAATACCGACCAACCAGGTCCACAGGGGACAGAAGCCGGGAGGGACATCGAACACGGCAGGCCTCCCGCTGATCTCAGGGTGGGGTTAAGCAGATGGAGTATAATACGGACACTCGGAAAAGTTCTGCATTTAGGTTAAAAATTAAGCGCACAGGTAGAGGGAGGGAGAGCTGCCTTGTCAGCAGTTCCTGTGAAAGCTGAGCGGGAGGCTGAGAGAGTTGATGGGGGTGTGGCTGCTGGAAACATTGGGTGATGTCGATGCAAGTAGAGGGTCCAGGGAGGAGGAGGTGAGAGACCACCATCCTCTGGGCTGGCCCAGGACCATCTGAGCCTGCTCTGCAAGGAGGGAGAACAAGCAGTAGTGGGGGAGTGTTCTAGAAGGTTTGCAGAATCAGGTAAGACAGAAGCAGATTACTTCCTACCTCAGGGTTGGTGTGAGGATTCTGTGTAAATAACTGAGCCCGGAGGAAGCTCCCAGGAAACGGTGGGTCTGAGGAGCCTGGGCCACCCAGCAAAGAAAGGCCCCTGGTGACCTGAGTGCTGTCTGCGTGTGTGCAGAGCTGCCAGTGTGGGCACCAGCCTGCCCCCCACATGCACACACGGCAGTGGACCCAGAGCGGCCTGTGTGAGGACCTTCCTGACACAGACGTGGT